TACTTCAAACCCGCGTGCCGCGTGACTTTACACCTTCACTCTTTGACTTCATGCTATACCAAATTATAATTTGACAACTGAATCAACGGAGGTATAGTTTCACGGGACGTAAATTGCATGTGGAAATTGTTACGAGTTTTTAGTTTGTATAAGTTGAAATGTCATCATATTTTAAGACCATGGCCTAAGCTTGCGTTACCAAGCAAAATGTTGCCCATGCACTTCACACTTCTTAGGTGGAATAGTGAGCGAATGGCAAATACTCTGACTGTCCTATCACCATCACCTTTTCAATGTTTTTCCAGATCGATCTTCAAGGACCCAACCAACTTTTTTTTAAAGGTTGGCAAAGCATACGCGTTTCCCCTAGTGTTGAAGTTGTTAATAGGTGGCGGTATTCACTTACTATCAGATGAACCGTCCGCTCGTTCGCCCCCTTTTATATTTAACAAAATCTTTGGAATTCGAGTTTGAAAGTAGCAGCCCGAAGTCAGAAAGTTCTAATGTTACAATTATTTTTCTAAATATATAATATTAAGTCAGAAAGTAACTAACTAACTTATTTATACTCCATATACGAAAACAATTAAACAGTGTATGGCATTAATAATTTTAGATTAACTAAGCGATATATCATAGGAGGGTCATACGTGCTGATTTCGAGAATCATTACGAATCATCTCGCACGCAGACTCGACAGCTTTCACCCTCCCGAAGAAGCCGGTTCCGAAAAGGCTTTAGCACCATATACCACATATGTATTTTAACTAATAAAATTGTCGGTAAATTGTACAGAAGACCGAGGAGTACATCTGCCACTAAGTCTTGCGTATGTGGACTATGAGAAAGCCTTCGATTCCGTCAAAATTTGGGCGGTGCTGCCCTTCAGCGGTGCCAAATTGTCTGTCGTTATATCGAAGTGCACTTCAGCACTTGTACAGAACCTACCTAGGCTACGGTGGCTATCCGAGTACAGAACCAGAGTACGAAACCTATCCAACTGCAGAGAGGTGTAACAGAGGGTGACGTTATAGCTCTGAAACTCTTCACCGCTGCATTAGAAGACGTTTTCAAGCTACTGGACTGGAAAGGATACGGTATTAACATCAATGGCAAGGTACATTACTCACCTCAGATTTGCCGACGATATAGTCCTTATGGTAGAATCGCTGGAGGACCTAAGGACTTTGCTCAATGACCGCAAAAGTGCCTCCCAACGGATAGGTCTTCAGTTAAACATGGACAAAACAAAGATCATGTATAACGTCCATGCCACACATATGCCGGTATAATATGTTAGGAGAGATCAATCAACGGATTTAACTCGGCTGGCCAGCGTACGGGCAACATGTCTTACGATACTTTTTCTCGTCAGGTGTACCTCTAAACATGAAAACGAGATTGTACAAACAGTGCGTGTTGCCAATGATGACTTATGGATCTGAGACGTGGTCCTTCCTTCACTGCTGGCCGTATGAGGAAGCTCAACGTCGTCCAACGAGCTATGGAGAGGGCTATGCTCGGGGTTTCTCGTCGTGATAAACTTAGAAATGAGGATATCCGCAGTAGAACCAGAGTGACCAACATAGCCCAACGGATTAGTAAGCTGAAGTGGCAATGGGCCAGCCATATAACTCAAAGAACCGACAACTGATGGGGAAGAAAGGTTCTCGAGTGGCGGTTTCGTACCGATAGGCGAAGTGTATGGCAACGCCCCACTAGATGGAGTGACGACCTGGTAAGACATGCAGAAGTCGATGGATGCAGGTAACTCAAGACCAAGGAATGCTACAAGGGCATTCCTTGGGGAAGGTCTATGTTCAGAAGTGGGCTGTAATTATGAAGCAATACTTAACTGTTTTCCAAATAAAATAAATAAAAATTAGGGGTCACCATACATCTGCATTTTTATTCTTAATCAAGGATAGATGTAAACGTCTATAGGTCACACAGCGTCCACAAACATGTGGGTGGGCTGTGGTCCCGTTTGTTACCATTTACTTCTATTATAAAAGTAATCCAACAACGCATTAGGTCCCTTAGGTACTGAAAGTGGAGGCTATGGGAAAAATCAGAAAGATCACAAAGCTTCCTATAGAGTCATATAACCATCATATTTAAGTTTGAAGTAAAATACCTAAAAAAATCTTATAATCTAGGTACAGAAGGTGTGAGGGTACAGGGAGCCAATATTTACAAGCTGTGAGGCATTCTATCCTAACCCGCAGATGAAACAACGCATCTGTAGGCTTTTGTGTTTCAAGGTGGCTTCAGATATCCATGTGCTACAGAAGCCACTTATCATCAGGTGGACAGTCCAGTTCGTTAGTCACTTCAGTTTCATTAAAAAAAAACGAGAGCGATGAAGCTGCTCCGTCTAATTTGAGAAATATCTGGTATCCGTTGTATGGCAGATCGCGAATCTGCAATACAATGGAAGAAGCCCATTTAAACATAAATTAATTTTCCACGTACAGCATTTTAAAACGTGGTAGAGCCATGCTGCAGCTATATTAGTTGTATAGTTGTAGCACTAATGGGTCGGCTCGACCGGGGAGGACCACGCTCTCACAGAATATCAGCGTAAAATAGCAGCTTAACGCTGCTGTGTTTCGTATGGTGAATGTAGAGAACCGGAAACCATTTTCACTGGAAACGAGGCATTCCATCTTGGTCCTCACAGGTGTCAACGCATTGTGCTCGCGTGTCACCTTTATCCTATAAAAAATAATTAAGCTTTTATGCGTTGATGAAGAAAAATAATGATTTATAAAATAATTTGCTTTTATAAGTTGGTAAATAAGATGCATAAATACTTCATAAAATGAAAATAATGTAGGTATAACTTTTATAAATTGAACACAAATTAAAAAATTAGAACAAAATAAAGAAAAGAAATTATAAAAGAAAGTAATTCACTTAAGTATAATTTTGTTGTTGTTATCAAAGTTTGAATTACTACGTATCACATAAACAATCAAAATATAAAACTGCAGCATAAAACATTGCAATGTATAAATTACTAGGCGCTTTAGTGTAACAATATTTTACGTTTTAATAACGAGATGGGAAACCAAAATTATTACATTATTCTATAAATTATATTATTTTAAACTTTTGAAAGGCCTAAGGAACATCACAAATCATATAAGATAGCTGTTTATTTAGGTGCATTAAAATTTTCAACCCTTATTTTTCTACACTTGGGATGAATATTTTTATTTAAATTTACATGGGATCATGAAGTTATAACCTATTTAATAAAAAAGTAGTAATTTAAATAAGTCCAGCTGTTTCAGAGAAATCGGTGAACATACTTAAAAAACATACACGTCGCGTATAGAACCTTTTAGTCTTTTTAACTCGGTTAAAAATAACTTAGACAGTGAGCGATATGATAATGTGTGCTTAACCATTTACATTTTAGCTTTTTTCAATTTTTTATATAAGATTTTTTAATAAGAGTATTGTATTATATATATATATATATATATTTATTTATTTATATGTTGTATATATTTATTTATTTATTTGTATGCTAATATATAACTGCAGCATATAACATTGCAATGTATAAATTACTAGGCGTTTTAGTTTAACAATATTTTACGTTTTAATAACGAGATGGGAAACCAAAATTATTACATTATTTTATAAATTATATTATTTTTAAACTATTGAATGGCCTAAGAAACATCACAAATCATATAAAATAGTTGTTTATTTAGGTGCATTAAAATTTTCAACCCTTATTTTTCTACACTTAGGGATGAATATTTTTATTTAAATTTACACGGGGTCATGAAGTTATAACCTATTTAACAAAAAAGTAGTAATTTAAATAAGTCCAGCTGTTTCAGAGAAATTGGTGAACATACTTAAAAAGCATACACGTCGCGTATAGAACATTTTAGTCTTTTTAACTCGGTTAAAAATAACTTATACAGTGAGCGATATGATAATGTGTACTTAACCATTTACATTTTAGCTTTTTTCAATTTTTTATACAAGATTTTTTTAATAAGAGTATTGTATTATATATATCTACCTTACACTACCGCTATTATTATTATGGTTGTAGTACGAATGGGTCGACTCGACCGGGGAAGGACCACGCTCTCACAGAACACCAGCGTAAAATAGCAGCATAATGCTGCTGTGTTTCGTATGGTGAGTGTGGAGAACCGGACACCCTTTTTACTGGAAACGAGGCATTCTATCTTAGTCCTCAGGGGTGATAACGCACCTGCATTTTGGTTCTTACTATAAAGTTCGTTTTATTTTTGACACCTATCACATTATTTCCACACGTGCTGTGTTTACTGGGAGAAAATGCCAAAGAGGCATTGAGTCCACCTTTGTAATTTTTTATTAAAGTGTTGTACAATAAAGAATAAGTAAATTAATTAATTAATTAACCTAACATAAATAAAATATAACTATTACTTTGCAGCAGTTTTGGGTATTAATAAACTGGTACAATACCTGCGAACATATAACGTTGTGACGTGTTTGAAATATTTCAAACCTGTATATTGTCCACTTTTAGTACATAACTAATAAGCATCATAGCCGTTAACACCGTGCTTTAAAATAGCTTTGGTACGTCAATGTAATATCATAATCCGTGATGCAACAACAACTTGGAAACAAAGCCCAAACTCCGTCGCATATCGTGTCGCAGAATTTTCGACCCTCTTGCAAGAGGCGGATACAAGCGGCGTTATAACTGTGAACGTGCAAATAATTGTATTCACAGTTGTCAGATGAAAAGATTCCCGCGCGTGCGCTAATTTATCCATATAAGAGCCCCACCGACCCACCCGCTATCAGTATACGTGTGAACTTCGAAAAGCACTCATTGCTCCCAAATCTAATAAAATTTTGCGAAAAACGGAAAAGTTTCAAGTCTCAATATTCTTTGGGTTAACGTTTTTAAATTGTGCTCGAAAGAGTTTACAATTTTTTCAACTTCGAAAAGTAGTGTAACTGACGAACTTATGAAAAACAAACTGGAAATCGACTTTGCGGCGAGTGTGAAATTCGACGACAATCTGCCGGTGAACGAAGTGGATCAGCAGAAAACATACCAGACACAACCGCGGCGAGAATCCGTAACGCCAAAAATTGTGGTGTGCCCACCTTTGGAAGACATGCCGGAACCTGTAGGTGCACCCCGTGGGACACGTTTGCTGAGAGCTCTAAGCAGACGTCTATCCAGACGTGCGAATGATGTTGATTCCTTTGACAGTTCTAGTAGCAACGACAGTGTGTCCTGCGAAATGGGTCGAACCGACGATCGCTCCTCTTGTTCCGCTAGTGATTCTGGCAGCGACGGCTCCGAACACCGCCGACGCCATCGCTCAACCGTCTCTCTAAGACGTGTATTTCAAAATCTAAGCCTAACATCCCGATCACAATCCTGTTCGCCGACTGAACGACAACGTAAACCCAAAAAGCAGCAACAACCGAAACGTATATTACGACCACCAGTAACTTACACGTACGTCCGCGGCCTCTCCGGTCTGCCAACACAACGGGTACCCAGACACACAGTTTGCTGTGCAACCATGGGCTTAAACCGATAAAGAGTTTGTGCAAAACTTGTATCGGATGCATAGGACAGAGGTCAAGACTGGTTAAGAATTAGTTGAAAGAAAACGCTAGAGAGGTTCTAATCATATCAGTAGCCACAGGAATCTAGGGCCGTAACCTTGTCTTCACCGAGGACCAAGAAAGAAGTGATACTGGAGTAAAGACTTTCTTCCGGCAATTCTCTCGTGCACCTAAAAAGTTTTACTAGGGGAAACAAATAAGACTGTAACGGATAACAGTAAAGAAAAAAATATCTCATGTCAGTATTATTAGATATACAATAAGATCTCCTGTTTTGCTTTTAATACAATATTGATATGTAAATAATTATAATGAACTTTGTGTAATTTGTGAGTCACTATTTCACATTTAAAAGATTTGTTGTAATATTATACGACGCTAACATAATATATTATAAAAAAAAATCATTGTATGAGGGTAAAATAGGGTCCCGTAAAATTTCCTGTTATTCAAGCATAGTGCCTTCCAGTATTTTAAACAGTTAAGTAGGTATAACTTAATGAGTATTTCTTATTAAGAATGGTATACTAAATATAAGAAACATCAAGACACTGTATTTTAAAATTCATAGTACTAAGAACACTTACACCATATAGTAATACACCATTACAACAAAATTTTATTCATTTTTAATGATGTTTTAAATTTGTTATACTTGTAAGTTCAATTGGCAGTGGAGAGATGTCTTTGAATTGTTGTTTAGTAGAAAAATATGGTTGATATTATTACCTAAGTAGATAATATAATTATATTAAAACGATGTAAAATAAGTCATTTTTATTATATAAATTTTTGGTAATCAATAAAAAAGTAAATCGTTATTTATTTGCTTTTTTTTAATCATTTTATGTTATATATGAATCTTTCATTTTACTAATAATTTTAGTAAAGTTAAGTAAAAAAATCTTACAACTACAATTTACAGAAACACCCCATAATGTATTATGTACAACTATAGTAAAAATCTAATCTAGAGCCGTGGTAGTTCTGGAGGTAAGTGCTCGCTGTGAATTTTTCAGTACGCGGGTTCGATCCAATGAAATTGTTAATTGCAATTTTAATTGCTGATTTACTACGGGCTCAACGGTGAAGGAAAACTTTATGCAGAAACCTGCATGTTTAAAGAATAAGAAAAAAATATAGGGTAATGCAGCGAACATTTCCATGCCCTAAACTCCTCTCAGAAATGAGAGAAGGCATTTGCCCGGCAGTGGAACGTACACACATCAAATAAAGTTTGTGATCAGTTTCAAAAATTTAAATCTATTTTGTTATGGTAGACTATAATTTCTTATTCTTTTTAAATTATTTACTTAAAAATATAGAATTAGAATGAGAAGTAATTAAATTTTAAGCCGTAATAAAATTTTGTTAGCCACAAGAAACGGCATTTAAACCATTTGGTTAGCATTTAAAGATTCTGTTTGCAATAAAAAAAAAACATTCGGCAATTCTTGTTTCGCAAATAATCTCGAAAATGTTCAGTAATTTAATAATAAATTGGCAGCTTACAATAATAATATGAGTTTTTTTTATAGGATAGGATGACAAACGAGTACACAGTCCTCCTGATGGTAAGTGGTATCTATCCTCGTTTGCGAATCAAAATGCAGATGCGTTGTCACCCGTGAGGACTAAGATGGAATGCCTCTTTTTCAGTAAAAAGGGTCTTCGATTCTCTACACTCACCAAACACAACAAACACAAACACCAGAATACCAGCGTAAAATAGCAGCTTAAGACTGCTAAGCTGCTATTTTACGCTGGTATTCTGTGAGAGCGTGGTTCTTCCCCGGTCGAGCCGACCCATTCGTGCTACAACTATACTACTAATATAGCTGCAGCATGGCTCTACCACGTACAAAATTTGTTTGTACGTGGTAGAGCCATGCTGCATTTGTTGTACAAAGTTTGCCTAATAAACAGTTGATCCGCAAAATACTTACTTCATCAGCAAGATTCTAGCTATATACCAGTTCATAACTATCTTACATGACTAATTTTGAGAAATAATTAAAATTGTAAACTCAATGTACAGGGGGAACAAATTTCGCGACATTGACATTCCTGTTGTATTGTTGTTCATGTTCATTTTTTGACAGTCGGTTAAGTTGCGGCTAGCCCTTGTGCCCACCTTAAAGCCAAAACATTATAACAATATAAAATATAAAAATTTACAGGCGTCCAGAATGTCAAAAAGTGCCAATTGATTTAATAATGATTGCTAGCCATGATTTGCTGACCAATTATCTATTTCTGCTAGTAAATTACATTTCTTTGCTGACAAAAACATAAATACTATGCTAACCCTTTAAATGACACCCAATTAGAATATACAACAATAAAACCAATTCAATTGTTTTTATATATAAAAAGAAATTCAATCCAAGCATCGGAAATCTGATTTAGTTCATTTTAACGGATTTAAAATATTTTTTCGAGGAAAGTTGTGATTGAAAAAATACCAAGAAGACTATCAGAAGTTTTACGAGCACAACTTTGAGGGAAGGAGGATATTCCACAAGAGAAATAGCACGCAGAGTTGTTGTATCCCAATCCTGTGTCGTGGCCACGTTGCCATTTGACTGACCCCGCAGTGGTCAGCCAAGTGTTCTGACTGCTTCTCAGAAGCGCTATATCAGATTACTGGCAGCCCTTGATACAATAATCAACGCCACTACAATAAAAGCAGAAGTGCGGGCCGCCTATGGATTTGAAGTTAGCACTCAGACCATTCAGAATTGCTTACACTAGGCTGGACTACGAGCAGAGAGGTCTTGGCGAGCACCTCTGAATTAACGGCAACGTCAGCGACAGAGATTGCAGTGGGCTAGGCTCCGGTAAAATGAAGAATAAGAGAAGGAAAACGTTTGGCAAAACTCTCTCTTCGTTGACGAATCACGAATCAGTAATCATCCAGATAATCAACATGTCCATGTCTGGAGAAGACGTGGAGACTCTGAAAGGCAAAGAACTGCCACGTGAACCATTCAGCAAGGTAGGAAATCGGTGTTTTTTTTGGGAATTATGATTGGAGCTAGAACGCCTTTTCCCGTATCGAGGCTCCATGACGGCAGATAGGTACAAAACAGTCGCTATTGATGGAATTTTCAGATCATTCCGAGTAATCCATGGGCAACAATTCATACTGGTCGATGATAATACGCCCGCAAATCGAGCTCAACGAGTCAATGCTGCTTTTATGAGAATACAACATCACAAGGTTAGACCGGCCTGCCGGCTCGCCTGACTTCAACCCAATAGAGCACAGGTGAGATGTACTTAAGCGAGCTGTTTGGAACTGTCAGCCACCTCCCCAGACAGACCCAGAGATTAGGAAAGCTGCTATTCAAGAATAGGACAGGTTACCGCAAGAAATGCTGGATAACTTGATCCTAAGCATGCTCAGGAGGATCTCCGCGTATGTTCGATCCAGAGAATATATTATATTGTATTTAATAAAAACCTTCTATTAATAAATTCTTGCATAAGTTTGGTTAAAGTTAGACAATATTTTTCTTCCCATCAAATTTCTGTTACAATTACATTAGGATCGAATTATTCAATTTTTTATTAAAAAATAAAAAGAGTCTAATTTTTTAATTTTAAATTTTTCTGATGTGTATATACAGGGTTATTTTTCAAAGACTAGACCAATTTAATATTTAAGTTCAACATATAATTACTAATATACACTTTTTGCAGTTTTTGAAAATACGCGTAAATGAGTTTTCTACATTTATTTCAAAATATCCGAAATTGAATGTGATTTATGGGCAACAACAGCGCGCGCTCGGGAGTGTAGGAGTCAATGCACGGAGCTTTAGTTTACTATTTACTTCCTTAATGACACGCTCAATACTATGATTCCAAAGGAGACATTTTCACGGACTGCAATGGTATTATATACAAAAAAAGATACCAAGTTATTATTGTAAATAGCATAAAGATTTTATGAAAATCTAGACGGAATCAAGAAATATGAGAAAAAAGTTATTTTGATATTTATGTTTATGTCATTGGTTCAGATAAAGTAATATTAAACACAATTGTAGTAGAGATGTGCCAACTCAGAAGAAATTCGACTCGAGTTAACTTGTGTTGAAATTCACGTAATCGAATAGTACTTGAGTTACGCAACTCGAATTGGCGGAACGAAGCTGTGTCAGTTTGTTACAAAAAATATTTTTATATTTATTCTTCCATCCAAGATAATTATTATTATTTGTTAACTTAATAGGTAATTATATATTATTGGTTTGCGTATAGACAATCTTCATAAAATAATATCACTTACTTTATGACGTAGCGTAAAGTTACTGTTATTAATAATTTAACTATCACGAATTATACTTAATCAGCTTATTGACATTTACATAATATATCAATAAATTGCTCGAATTAGTAAGTCGAGTTCATCACTAAATTGTAGACAGACACTGCATTGACCGTAATATAAAAATGTGACTCGAGGAAAATTTTTTGACTCAAGTCACTCGGGTTTTATCATGTTACTTTAGTTGTACTCGAGTTTTTGAGTTATTTGAATTAACTACATATTTACAGTCCCTGGATAGATTGAAGTTTATCACTCGAGTCGAGAATAGCGATTACCCCTCAAAGCATTTTTAAATAGGTACCTTTATTTAATAAGTAATATGTGGCAATATGAAATAAAATACAAATATTGATTATTTATTTATTTTTAGTATTTCCATGTTTTTTATTTGCTACAGATATGTGGAATATTTCAAAATCTATAAACTGCTTTTTGCATATCTTACTAATCGCTTCCATTTTTTTTTAAATAATGCCACACTGGCGATTTTTATTTTGTTGTTTCATTGTTATCATTCATACTTTAAAGAAACAAGTACATTTAAATCACCTTTTATGTTATGCACTACTTATACGAAGTAACAAAAAATAAACAACAATGATATCACAATCATGATATTATAAATCAAACTAA